TTCCTTTGGAGGCTAAATGTTCTAATTTGTCTCTATTGATGCATTAACCATGCAGTTTTCACAGCCCTTCTTTTGTGTGAGTGCGTTCCATCTACACGAATGCGGAGAGAAATGTAGCCATATCTTCTTACAAACCTCAAACTAAATCTCTAATTAATAGAGCTTTTTCTAATGAATTATTTACATTTCCTTCAACAACAAAGGTAGTGAAATAATTCATTATTTAATATTCTTTAATTATGTTTATCCACAGTGACTATCTTGTCTTTTGTGTTCTATTTTATGCAAAGCGATTTTGATTTTTCCAAGTGAAGCTAAGAGGGAGTGTAACTTAAATAGGCACCTAATAAACAACAATGGTTACAGAGGATATAATTTCCTTTAGAAGTGATGCCTATATGTAGCAATTACTAGTGACACGCAGTCTAGGCGTTGTTAAGTGATCGCATTACCCTTCAATCAAAATCAGCTGTGTTATCATTACTCTAACAAATAGACTGACAGAGAAATGATGACTTTTGCTTTAACAGATATCTTTTAAAAAAAAATTGGTCCCTTTTGATCTTTGAAAAAAATCATTCAATTTTCACTTTAATTTTCTAACCCCATAGTAGGGGTAAAAATAATGTGTGAAAAAATTATTATAGTTCATTTTGGGGGAATGAATTTTCAGAATTTCAGAATTAGCACTTTTGTCTAAAGTACAACCTGAGTGTTGTACTAATGAAGACATATAAGCTGAGTCACGCAGCAAGAATTCTATTACTATTCCTCTTACAGGAAGGAAAGACCTCTTACTAGATGCTGCCTCCCGAGGGAGCCTTTCCAAGATGACCAAGACTATTTCTTGACATGGCTTATCCTGGGCAGTTATAGCCTCCTTGCAGCCTACATTGTGAGCCACATCAGACATCCCGCCATGATTCATTAAATGAATGATCCACTGTCCATTTTTTTAATGCACTTGAAAATGAGTGAAACATTCCAGTTTTAGTTCCCTAAACATATCAGAGGCTGTGAAAGTTCTGGAACAAGAGCCATAGATAAAACAACAACTTAGCTAAAGGAATATTTATTGAGGACATTGGTCATTAAAATCTTTGGTTACACTGAGGAACTTTAAGTTATCACCACATCACCTGCTTTTATTTTGATTACTGAGAAGTGTAGAATCCAAATTTAAGATCACTGGAGCACCATGACACTACATTTGATATGTTTTATGTCCTTCCTCTTGTAGAACTAATTTCATGATCATTTTGCTTGTTATGATCCTCTGTATTTATATTTCATCATTATTAAATGCCTGTACTATTTCCAAGTGCTACATTTTGATACTTAGTTTGGAGTATTAAGACAGATTATTTAAGAAAGCACAATAGCTGGATAACATATTGGAAAGAGTGTCAAGTAATATGTACTGTGTTGTACTAAAGGGGCAAATAGACAGGATTTAAAAGGAACATCTGCTAGATAGGCATGAGCAGAAATTTTCTAATAATTCTTCAAGTCCCAAATGTAATGGGTTTTCCTCAAAAGCTATTGAATCTTCAACATTGCACATGTTTAAGCAAAAGCTAAGCAACTATCCATCTGGCAAGTTTTTGGATTGGAAGAAAGGTTGAACTAGAAGCCTTCGGAAATCTTTTCCATTGTATGATTCTATAATTAAATATGCTATCCTTAATGAACATTTGTTATCTCCACAGGGTGAGGAACTTATGGCATGAGTTTCCATGCTGTCTTCTTGCCAGGTCTAGAAATTAAATTAAATTAAATCTATCAGCAGCTGAAATTGAGAATGAAGGAAAATTATGTCATAATGACTCAGCGTCTGAGGTCTTTGAATATTCGCTTAAAACCTTCCCTTTATTGCCAACAAGACGTCATAGTCTGTCCAGATCACATGCTATGACTCTAGGTGGAAGAAACCAAATGAAGAGAAACACTGATGCATTCAAATTAAGATCCTACAAGAGTTTGATAAAATAATTTTAATATTCTGAATATTAAAAAGTGGATAATTGGCCATATCACAGATATATTTTAAAAATAGTTCCTATAATGTAGAATATTTTAAAGATTACTGCCACTGAAAAGGTATACATATTTAGTTTGGGGAGGTTGAAAGTCCACTTTAAGCCAGGAAACTAAATTGAAATGGCATATTTAATAGCTCCTCAGATCTATCATTATATTTATGCAATATAGGAAAGTTAAACGAATTCTGAAATCACTAAATTATTCACTGAGGTGACTCATCTTAAGCAAATGAGCTGACACATTGCATATAAATATTTTAAGTGGTCTCACCAATATAAATATTTGGTGGTCTCAGAAAGGTGTTATTTATTGCTTTGAGATTTTCGTTAGAGATACTTGAAAAAGTATTATTTAAAGGTACATAATAAATTAATACAACCAGAGAAAAATATGTGATTTCTATATATTCAAGCGATTAGAAATTCCAAGATTATGCAAGTATAAAATTTCAAACCCTAATACAAATTTGATTTTGACCAAACTTAAAGTAAAAATGAATCAAGTATGATCAAGAAAAAGTGACTGAAAACAAATCAAAACTAAAGATCAAGTTGAAACAAGACAATTGAAACATGACTGTGTCCTTAGAGGACAAAAGAGATAAATACTGTTTATTTTAAAATTTTGGAAGTGATAGTGTCTGTTTCTTGGTGAAGTAGTGATGCTCAAACCCTGTAGGAGCCTATTGGCCTCTGGTTGCTGGTCTTTAACTGCCATGAATTCCTGTATTCCTGATCATTTAAGGTCAAGGTCTTCTGCCTTAATGGATTAATTAAGAAAAATAAATTGCGATTGCAATATATAAATGCAAATAGCCTAACCCCAAAAGACTGCCTCTTCAGCTCTGCCTAAAAAGTGATCCTGATACCAGAACTCATGGCAAACACTATCTAGTAAACACAAATCGTAATCCACTTCTCCAAATTAGGCATGTTTAAGTACAAGAGAAATTAGATCTTAGTATAAATTGTGGAGACAATGGCCAAAGTGCCCTACAATCCAAAAAAGCAAATTGGAACCAGATAGCAATACAATCTGTACAACAGCAAGATTTTATAGAAGTTTATAAGCAGGTAACACAAACCTCAGTTATCATAAAGAGAATTTTTATTTTAATTACAAAATACTTTGGAGAACAAATAAAGAATAAAATGTGGCAGATACTCTTGTACCTCTTCACCTGATTTAGCAAAGGTCGACATTTTGCCACATTGGCTTCAGGTTTCTATTGGTTTTTTTTTAAATGAAAGTTAAAATATGTAAAACAAAAGCCGCCACCCATCCTATTTCCTCTCCCTCTTCACCAGGAGGTAAGCATGAGCTGAAATTGCCGTCTTTTATTCAAATCAGTAAGAATATTAATGTAGCCACACATAATACATAGCGCAGTCTTATTTATTTTGAACAGCACTTTATCATGGGTATCATTCTGCAAACTGTTTCTCCATTGGCATCATTTTAAGGCTTTTCCATTTCAAAGTTTTTGCATCTAGTTTAATTATTTTAATTTCGGCCTCGTATTGGATTATATAACTAAATGCTAGGTTATTTCTCCACTGCCAGATTATGCATATGTTGTTTGTAAATTATTACTAAGAAAAATGCTGGAAGAAAAGACTACCTAAAGAACTGGAGAAAGTATTTGCAAATATATATCTGATAAGGGATTAATATCTAAAATGGGATCAATATCTAATGTCTAAAAGGGATTAATATCTAGAAAAACAAATAATCTTATTTAAAAATGGACCAAGGACCTAAATACATGTTTCTTAAATGAAGATAAACAAATGGCCAGTAGGCATAGAAAAAAATGTCTAACATCCCTAATCATCAGGAAAATGCAACACAAAATCACAGTGAGACACCCCACACCTATAGAAATACAGTGGGGGAAAAATGAATAGTAGTCATAGAAATAATAACAAAAATTAAGAGGTTTTACTTTAATTTTTATTTAGTAATTTGTTTTTATTAATTTAAGTGTTTTATTGAAGAACTGAATAAAAAAATTATTATCAGGGAAAAACTAATCAATATCTCCTTCATAGTTTTTTGAATAAGTTGCATTCATAAAGAAAAGAGGTCACTTATTTTGTTCAGTTGTTTAATTTATCTTAAAAATCTATAAAAAATATATAAGGCATATATCAAGACACCAACATTACACTCCACTCCCAGGTTATATCTGCACAAAGTTTAATTTATCAGAGGCTTCAAGACCTTTCTAAATCATTTCTTTTTTTAGAATAATTGATAGGGCGGCACCTGTGGCTCAGGGAGTAGGGTGCCGGCCCCATATACTGAGGGTGATGGGTTCAAATCCAGCTCTGGCCTAATTGCAACAAAAAAATGGCCAGGGGTTGTGGCAGGCGCCTGTGGTCCCAGCTACTTGGGAGGCTGAGGCAGGAGAATCACCTGAGCCCAAGGAGTTGGAGATTGCCATGAGCTGTGACTTCACAGCACTCCACCAAGGGTTAATAAGTGAAACTCTGTCTTAAATTTTTAAAAAATTAGAATAATTGATAATTTTGTTCTCAAAAAAAACTGAGAAGTTTGTCATATTTCCTTTGTCACTGGATACAGTTCATTGTGGATTTTGCTATGATAGGTCTACAACTTCCTACCCACTGGTCATTCCATTGGTTTGATTCATCTGACTGGCTAGACAGGGTGATCGCCTTTCCTCTGATCTT